TCCGTTCAGCTATGACTGTAGTATAAAAAATGTATCTAGATTTTCGATCTAATTATAGATTTTAAAATTACATTGCATACAATTTATTTTCTTTTGATTTTCTGTTGCATAGGATGTTTAACAGATCTCATATATCTTCGTATCACTGATTTTAAATCTGGAATCGGGTTCTCACTGCAAGCTGCAGTTTTTTTTATTCAAGTTTATTTTTTGCGGAAATGTACAACTTTAAAAACGTTACCTATAACTTAAATGTTGTTCTAGGGGAGTAAAAGCACATTTGGATTAAAATTGCCTAGGAACCCAGCCCCAGACATGTCGTTATACGCCACTTGGAGCACTTCCCTATTGTGAACTCCTTCGTGTACTTTTAAACAGGTCATAATAGAAAAGTGCCTCTAGCTGCGTATGACGAGATTTCGGGGCATCGATTACTATGCAATTTCAATCCATGATGCACTCTAACACACCTAAAAGTTTGTCTCAGCATTTACTCGACCCCTTGATATATAAACATTTTTAAACTTGCTTATTTCATTAAAAATAGACTAAAATTTTTATTTAAAAAAAAAATCTGAAGCTTTAGGATCAAAATTAATTTTAGATTTAAAATCCCCACACCCGAATTAGGAAAGATCAATTAATGGTATAAAAGCAGCAAAAAGTTTCCTTTCCAATGTTATAAATGAATCATAGTCACCACAATACTTAACATCCATTAGATAAATGATAATAATGATATAATTTTTCCTCCTTCTGTCTTGATAAAAATTTAAAAAAAAGGTTTCTTTTTATAAAATATGTCCGATTTCGGGACATTTATGTTTCAATTATTGAGAAATCAATTTAAATAACCAATTTTTATCCTTCAATCAATCCTTTCCATAAAGTGTTGTTAAAAACACCTTGAACTGAGTTGGCAATAATGCTCATTAATACCTTTGTACTCCTAGTACTTTAAAATGCTGTTTGAACTACTACAAGCACCAAGGGTGAAAGTGAGACGAAAAAGAAGAAAGGCTGGTAGTAAAACCATTTCAGTTATAGCTAGTTTTGGGGAGGAGTTTACTTATTCTTTTTTAAAACTACTCAACAATATCCACTTCATCTTAGAGTCCTAGTGTTTAGATTTTACTGGGCACCTGGGCCGCGAAGCGCCCCCTATCCCATTCATCTGGAATTTTTGAACAGTTTTGGTTGAGCAATGAGGTAAGCAGGCAATGGAGTTGCTTTTATGCCTTCATCTTAGAAAAGAAGCAGTTTTATATATGCTGAAATTATAAAAGAAATCTTGATAGTTACAGATATTTTATTTTTCTCGAAAAAAATGCTAGAATGAAATGATTTTCGCACCAGTCTTTGTTCTTTTCCGTCTTGCTATATAAGGGCTTTCAGCCATGTCAAGCACTAAATTACTTTAAATACATAATACAGTATTTTTATATGGTTTTTAAAATTTTTAAAATAACATGGTTACTAATTATTAAATTATAAAAATTTAAATTTTAGAGTAGTGATAGTTAGTGGCTCTTCAGAGGCAGAGTGCAAAAGGCTAATGACTCCCCTCTTACGCAAATAATTTCTTTAGGAATAGATGAAGTGTAGGCATCCAACAATTTTCTTAACGCTCCTTACAATTTACTAAAAAAAAAAAAAATATTTTTCATTAACTTTCGCAAAAATTTTACTGGGTGTATTACAGGGTTCTTTCACACCTAGCAAAAATTAAAAAGTGGTAGTAATATTAATATAATTTTTTTTATTTCCTTTTTTCTTAACACGTTCACGCCGGGAAAAGTGAAAATACTGGTACGGGAAAAGAGAAAATACTGGTAGAAGAACTATTTCAATATTAGATAATATTCGGGAGGAGTTAATCTATTCTCAACAATAACAATTCACTGTAAGGAAATTTATCACGGCGAAGAAGCAATTCAATATAAAAATTGCATCCGTTAAAAACAATTGGTAGTTATGGATTTTTATTATTCCCGGAAAAAAACTAAAAAATGAAATTTATTTTTACCAGTTTTTACTCCGGTGCGCTGCCAAGATGAGACAATCTAGCGTGACCCGCCGTGAACGTGTTAAGTAAATATATGTCATACCTGCCAACTTTCACACTTTCCGAGAATGGATTTTCAGAGTGGTTGTAAAACAATAAACGAAAAACAATCTGACTCAAAAATATATTTATATTTTGATCCCGTTGAAATTCGCTTGTTCAAGGATTATTATGGTTTGATATATTCATTATAATTATTTATATGTAGTGGTGGTCAAACTCATTTGTAATTATCATTATAATTCAAAAAGTTAATTAGAATAACCTGTGCATTGCTACCACTTTAAACATGAAAATAAAATCTTCCGGAAAACGCGGAATTGTTGGCAGGTATGATATGTAGATCCGAGTGGAGGCTTTTTTATGTAGGAGGTAATGGTCTTATAAAAAGAGTGGTAGCTTATTATTGTTTAAATTAAGTGCGCATTTCCCCTTGCTATCTACCACCTAAATTTAAAATCAAAATCAAAATTCCATTAATATAAAATTAAAATTTGGTAGCTTCGCATTATTAAATAGATCATAGAACGTAGGCATGTTTTGCTCGGCAAAACCAAAAATAAGAATGTAGTAATTATGCTATCAACTTTTATGCGCTTGGGAAAAAAAAAGGAAGTCCATCTTGAAACGGCTATAATGGATGAAAGCGTTACCAGCAATAATTTAAGCATTGATTTGCTAAAGTAATTTATATTTTGCTTTCTAAATTTAAAATTCTAAACAAAACTTTACTCAACTGTATTTTTCAAAAGTTTAGTTTACTAACGTATCTACAACTAAGTCGCGAAGTAAAATTTGAAAATTCTTATTCCAAAGTGAGGTAGAGAATTGTAAGAGAATATTAATAGAAGATAACAACTTGCATAACTTTAGTTTTCCCCTCTTGTGGTTTCCTTTTCCCGACAACTCTTCCCTTTATGCAAATTTACAGTATTCAGAAAAGTTGGCCTTTTGCCAAAAGTACTTCCCATGAACTGCTGCAAGGGAACGTGCTTGTTTCGCTACATGAATTATATATGAGTATCTGAAGGAACTGTCGCCCATAGCACTTAATTGGGCAACCTTCTCTATCTTATTTTCACTCACTTTTAGCATTCCTACAAACTTAATTTCAATAAAATTCCATTAAATACCATATACTTTCCTAAAAATTTTGCTGAATTTAAAGTGGTTTCAAATAGCCATAATCTAATTTTCTGTTTTTCCAAAATTCCGTATCCTGTATATAGATTTCGATATTTGTGACTCAATTTATTTAAAAATATTGAATAAAAATAAATAATTTTAAATAAATAAATAAATGAAAATAAATAAAGTTAAATAAACAAATTTAAATAAATAAATTTAAATAAATAAATAAATAAAAAATAGATATTTTCTCCTGTGATACCAACTGCTCCAGATTTGACAAAACATTTAAAATGGTAGAGAACTACAAACTAAAGTTTGCAGATTTTTTATTAATTTTGCAAACTTTTTAAAAAGCTGAGCACGACTTATCTGTCATAAAGGGGCCTCTGAATTATTTAGAAGTGTATAAAAATCCTAAACAAATAGAATTTACTAAACCAAGAATTATACATTAAAAACGACTCAAAATTTTTTATCCGCTGTCCGGAGCATCTTTGATTTTCTCCAGTATCAGTTTAATAGTTTTTTCTTGTTTTGTCTTATTTTTCTAGTCTCGTTTAAGTATACTAAGCATAAAATTCTTTATGGAAAAAACTGAATTCTTGATAAAAAGAATATATTGAAAAAAAAATACTCAATTTTAATTAACCAAAGAATTTGATTTCGAATAAAGAGACAGCGTTTTTTAAAATTATGTCACGTTCAAATAAAATAAAATGCTTTGAATATAAAATTGTATGCTATATTATGAATGATAATAAATCATGTAATAATCTTGTTTGCTTCGCTACTTGAATTAAAAGCATCTAATGGTCAGTCCAAATTGCTATAGTGGTAATTAATTAATCATCAGAATTGTGGAAATTCATCGTGTACAGCAGCCACTTAAATGCTAAAATTTTTCACCTGAGTTGATTACTATCTCACCATCACAAGATTTATCCGGGTGCTTAACCCTTTCCCTTGCCAATTTTTTGGGGGGGAGGGGGGGATGCAAAAAATCAGCATATATTTTTATTTCAATAATATACACAAGGAACTAAAACAAAACGTATACACAAGTTTAAAGTTTAAAATTTATTATCATTTTTGTTTTGTGTAAAAAAACAAAACATTTAATTTACAATCAGTTCACTATCCCGAGTTATCTCGGGCAAATGAAAAAACTTAAATAATACTAGTCCTTGTATGATAGTTTTTAAAACAAGGGACAGCACAGAAGTGATTGTTTCCAAACGCCATTGAAGTGATACTTCATTTTTTTTTAACTCACATTTTTTCTATGTAAATTCAGCAACTTGTGGTGATCAGGAATGTTTCGTGTTAACTTTTTAAAAGCATGAAATACATTTCATGACAAAGAATTATATGCCACTATAATAATTTTGAGGTCCCACTGGACGCCCTGTTAAGCATCTCAAGGATGCTCTTGTTTGCCCTCTTCTCAGCAAAAGTAAGCAGATTATAAACCTCTTCCATGCCTAAGTAAGAACACTCACCTTTATTTTTTATTTTATTTTAATTAACTTTTATTGTAGTGATTTAATATTAAAAATTTTAGGATTAAATTCAAATAAAAGGTGTCTATCGTTGTTGAGAATCTCAAATAAAAAATCCCTAATAGACCAGAGTTCTAAAGGAAACTGGCTGTGAGATTTCTACACGAATATTTGAAAACTAACAGCTTTATCGTTCCAAATTAATATTATTAGAAACATTGTGATACTAGTTATTTTAGAATGATACAAGTACTTTATTTATTTATGATATATCGTTTATTGTAAGATAATAATTTTTGTTTCAGTGGAAACGATTGTATTTTAATGGATATTTCAATGAAAATGTATGCAAAAAGAAAAATCCGGTGAGGATGCACTCTAGGTATGTAACAAGTTTTAAAATATGTGTTATATTTTTTAAAATTTCACATCAACAAAACTTTTTTTCTTAACCTTGAGTTTTGCAGCGCATAGAATTCTGCATATATTATTATATTTACTGTATTTGCTTAATGTCAATGCATAAATTTTATACATCGAAAAGTAAAACTACTTTTATACAGCTCGTCAAAAACTAATAAATCAGGACAATTTTTTCAAAATTAAAAGTGGTAATTAGAATTAGAAGTTAATTATTCTGATTTACTTGCATTACAGGGTTGCTCTGATTTCAAAATTTTTTATTAAAAAGGTAGTAAAATTCAGAAAATTGTTTTGTTTTAAATTATTTATATCTACCAATTTTTTTTCCGTTTAAGAAGTTAGTGGGCTTAAAAAAGCTTAGTTGCCACTTTTTACGCTTACTGATTCTGTGAATTGGTAATAAGATAACGATTGAGTTGACAGTTGTAATCAGAAATTATTTATTTTTCGAATGCTCAATATTTTGAAGGAATATTGCTTAGAAAGTCACGTATTATTTATAATTATTTACGTGTAGTAGTTGTCAAAATCATTATACTTTCCTTTTGCCAAATCAAAATAAAAAAAATCTAAAACTATACATTTTGCTACTTTAAAAATACGACGAATATCTCCCGACGAAATTGGGAGATTCGACCTGCTATGAAAAAAGTGCAAGAATTTTTGTTTAATGCTGAATTGGAAATAAAGAAGATAAATGTAAGTTTTAAAATGGTATCTTATCCTTTTTCCGGAACAACAAATTTCGATTAAAAATTATAATCAGACAGGACATTAACAATAAGTGAAGCAACATACTTTTTTCTAAAGAGTAGTGGTTGCTAGAGCAATTAGTTCTTCATTTCTAGTGGCTTACAAAATTGATTGAATTAGTGTTGCCAGGCTGGTTTCGCTGCACCGTAAAGGGTTAAGGGAAATTCCGACAAGCATGAACGCAAATTTACTATCCCTATTATATATTTGCTGAACCCTGTATAAAGTACAAATTGATTTTGTTACAAAAAGGAATATTAATTTATATTGCATGGGTGGTATTTTGCAAACTCCCTATTTATTAAGCATATTATAATTTGTCAAAGACTGTAATCTCAGCTCTTTAAACCCGTTTCTTATTATGATTTTCTTTATTTTGCATTGTGTTCGACAGATAATTTCCTCTTAAATTCAACGTTCTAAAGGATGAAGAGTTGCGATTTTGTTCTCAGTACATTTACCACGTTTTATTTTTTATTCGCTTTGAATTACATAGTATTAACGTTGCAGGTAGATAGTATTCTCATTTTTACCTGTCGTCTTCCATATAATTCACGTTTTATTGTAATCATCTTTCCACAACAATGCGATTCCTAAATGACATGCCCGGCCGTGGTTAACAATTACACAGATTTAGAAATAACGGGCGTGAGGGACCACCTTCATCTAACACGTTACACCCTTGAACCGATGACCTGCATGAAAATCCCTACTGAGGATTTACACTTTTCCCCACGGAAGGGAAAAAGCTCCAAATTTTCACCTCTTCCTATTGGTTCAACTACTGGAAGATCACGTGGTTGCTGGAAGGGCGTTCCTCGCTTCCCTCCGCTCACCCCTCCTAGTCCTTTAATGACTGGGTGCCTTGAAGGACGAAATAAGATGGATGAATAACCAAGAAGATGAATTACATTTGTTCTGGGGTAGTTGTTGGGTTCATTTTGGCCTACACTTGCACTGGAATGCCTTTGTAACAATGATTGATTATTCTTTCTACCGTAGAACTCTTACTGATATAATTCCAGAAAAGGCCGTCTTCAAATTTTCTTTTTAGAACTTTTTACCTTACCGATTTTTTGTTCATTTCGTTATGCGCTCTTTTTATTATTTTGTTTTTGTATTTTGAGTTAGCGCCACATCATTATTAGTCTCAAACCAGATTGTCAATTCAAAAAGTGGAAAGTTAATTACTGTCTCGAAGACAAAATCTAAGATGAAAATCTTGGAGATAATTATAAACTTGCTTGGTGCATTACTTACATAACAGTTCCTTTTTTTGCTATTTATTTTTTCAATCAGTAAACGTTTATATCTTTTTGCTAAATTTGTACGCTGTTGTTCAAAAATAAATAATTTTATAACATCAATAACATTAATTAACAAATTTTTAAAAAATTGCGGATATCTTAGCATCCAATAAATTTTCTAAGACATTTTCTTTTTTAAAGATTTTGATAAAATTAACAATAAAATTTAGTTATTTAATGAGTGATAAAATTCGGTAAATGTGATGATAATTTTATCATGACACCTCAGAGCATAGCATGGAAACCATTTATTCGGTTAAATTTACTTTTCAGTTTTGTATTTTTAACTAAATGTTGAAATTCAGAATTTCCGGTAAATCGTTGCCATGTGAACGGATAAATTACCAAATGAATGGTTTAAATGCCGTATATTTTTGTTTTTATTACCAGAAATGTTTTTCTTCGTGTAGTTATTTCTTTATTTAAAACATTTAATTTCAAATTATTCTGACAACTATTTATTCTTATAAATAACATGAACAAAATATAAAAATGATTTATATTTACTTAATTTGTGTAAGTAATGGGAAAGTTAAAGCATTTTCAATATGTTAATTCCCTACCATAGGGAAAAACTTCAGAAAAAATATAAGTTGGCCGCTATGCTTCTTATAGGTTCCCAACGTGGTGACTTATTTTTCATTAGGTTGTAGGAAATTTCATGTGTTTAAATTTCACTAAAATTTTTCACTTAAATTTATCTATTTAGACATACTTCTAAATTTAATTAGCAACTATCTTTTGCATCTAGATATTATTTTCAATTATATTTTGGTAGTTAAAGAATAGTTTATCCTTTCAGACGCAGAGGGATAAAAACTGTTTTAATTGCCTAATATTGTAATAGTTTTTATCTTTTAAACAACGTGATTCCCAATCAACCACTTTAGATCCTAAAATATATAAATATAGGTAATATTAATATTTATTTCAAGCTGATAAGTTCTTAGTTAACCTCTTTAGATCCTGAAAAATGCATTAAAGTTAATAAGTTTTATCTTTTAAACAACGCGGTTTTTAATTAGCAACTTTAGATCCTGAAAAATACAGCGATAAAGAGTAGATGACTTCATTGTTAACTTACACATGGTGATCACACTTCTTATGGTTCTTCCTGAATGAAATGTGGGTTCAAATATTTCTGTTACGCAAAGGTTTGAACTAGATTTGATTCACCAAAATTTTCTTAAATTTTTTCACCTACCCTTAATCCAAATAACTCATATTTTGATTATTAATTTTATAATTTTTGCTAATTGAGCGCAGAAATTATCTCAATAAAAAGCATCACTTTATTAGTGTTGGATTTTATATAATTTCTTAGTAGTTCACTTAATTCTGTCGCTTTTAAAAGGGTTCGTACGAATCCAGGAAAAATTAAAAAACTATTATCAATTTTGTTATAAAAATGTTTAAAAAAATTATTATTAACCTTACGTTTCAAAATACAAATTTCAAATATTCAGATATTGAATCTAGATATATTTACGTAAATTAATAAAACAACTACCATAAGAAATTACAATATTACTATAATTTTTTTGAAGTTTTTCAGGGATATATGAACCTGTTTTAACAACACAATTTCAAAACTTTTCAGTTCTGTGTCATAAAAATTGCTTTTTTAATATTCAAGTTCACTGCTATTCAGACATTTAAATGCAAGTTTCAAGGCTAGAAGAAGGTTTAGAAGAGCCAATCCCTAAGCATAAGCCTAAAGAAAACTATTAATAACACACAAAAAAGCCAACTGAATTCTGAGTAGCCTAGGGGATAGAGGAGTAGACCTGCCTATGGATATGGCAGCTTGACTGAGAGCCATTCATCTTTCAAACACCGCCATATGCACGAGCCAATCACTAGTCAAGCCACTGTCCCAACTATTACCAACAAAAATGACAATAATTAGTTGCTTTCTACATTTAAGAGGCATCACTTTTTTCTGGTCTTGGCGACCTTTTTTTTTTTCGAGTTTTCCCCTATATAAGAGATAAGTATAGAGTACTAAAACTTCATAGCATTTTTTTAGATGTATTTTTTACCGAACCGAAAAACTTATGTTAAGCTATGCTAAACATATACCGCTGTGGAAAGAAAATGAGGAAATGTTTAAAACTGTTTGTGAGAAATATGATTCAAAAGTTCTTTTTGGAGAAATTGGTGGGAAGAAACATAAGGAATGGACGAGAACGGTAATTTAAAATAAGATTGGTAAAATGCTCTAGAGCTTTAACTGAAGGCTATTTCCAACTGATGGACAAGCAAAGCACGTCTGAACACAAAATGTAGGGGAACTATACTTAACAATTTTATACTCTGAAAGTTGTTTTAGAATAAAATATCACTATAAAATATTTGAGTTCTAATGTAAATTAATTTTTGCTTTGTTGGGTTAGAAGGAAATTTTAAAAGGTGCTTTATATATATATATATATATATGTATATACACGTAAGTTTNAATGACGTGTGTATTATTGATTTTTTAATTTTTTTAGTGCATTTTAAAAAGTGTGTATTATCAAATGTTCCTATTACTTAAGATAATTTATAAATGAAGCTAAGATACGCCATTCCGTTAAAATTAGCATTTTAGAAATCATTATTAAAGTCACGTAGGTATTTTTTTTATAATTTTAATTCTTCAAATATTCGTGAAATCCTTAAGTTAATTGAATTTTTTTTCACGATATAATGAGATAAATCTAATAATTATTTTTACTTTCTTAAATAAGTATTTAAGTTTTATAAAAATGATTTTTTATTTCATGTTTCATAAAATTTCCTTCTCAAAGAAACTTTTTTTTCTCCTAACTCTTAATTTTCTGGAAGGAAAATGAAAATTCAATTTATAAAGAAAAATGAATAAAAGTCATTAATTCAACCGAACAAATGAGGGAAA